TGGCATTAGCTCAAATCTATTCAACGAGAGAACAAAGCACACTCAGACATTTCTCAGTCTGTCTTCTGCAGCGCTAGACGTGGAACAAAACTAGATAAACACTTAGAAATGCACCGCAATCATTCATTTTACAACCTCCTGCGACACGACTTTATTCACTGAAATGCCTTATAGCAACGACAATAAGAATCTACTGGTCTTACAAAGGAAATAACGGCCTCTTGTATTCATTTTTGCGACCATGAGTTCACATGTAAAGGTCAGAAAATAAGCAGGTCTGCATATCATTCTGCAAAGTGAAACTGAAGGAGAAACATTAGGAAGTTTTGCAGGTGAAAAGTTTCTTCAACGCTTATTTTAAATAACACAACAAGGATTTTGTGACATCACATGTCGTCTAGGAGCCAATCGTGGTTCAATATGTAACTTTACGGAGAGGAGGTGGTTGTATTTTTAAGATTTATTGACATGATTATTGATTATTTTTGATGGAAACCATTAGAGTTGCAGGATATGCTTTGTTGACGAATTGGAAATGTATAGTAGTATGTATTACTCCAATATTATAAGGTGATAGTGTCAAGCCAAGTTGCTCTAATTGACTCAAAGAAATACCATATTGTGCATCCGTTAAATAAATATATGGCACAAGTTATTAAGCCTGCAACTAATGACTACTTTAATTAATCTGATTATTATCTTGGTTTATCCTTTGGTCTATGAAATGTCATAGTGTTATAGTAAGTAGAAGTATTTAAAAGTCTTGAATTGTCAGATCCAAACCCAAAGACATTCACAAAAAGCATGACATCTTCACATTAGGGAGGCTGGAAACTGCACTTTCTGCCACTCTTTGCATGCAAATCTTTTCACGTTTGGTAATTATCATTCAAATAAGAGTTTTTGTTCATGTCTATGAATTCTGGAGGGGGTTTTTAAGTTCCTACAAAAGAGTTATCAGATGGTTTGCCCTAGAGTTAGCCAAGTGTCAGAGAAAAGTGACTTATTGCTGACTCTCTGGCTGATAAACGATGCATCAAAACCAACTGAAGCCCAGGAGGAGGATCGTGAAGAGACACGTGTGTGTGTGTGTGTGTGTGTGTGTGTGTGTGTGTGTGTGTGTGTGTGTGTGTGTGTATCTACCCCACCCTCTACCAAACACACACACACACTCTCTTTCATTCTTTCACACACACAAACACCACTTGTGTGTAACCACAAACACCTTAGCTTCAATCGCCCCGTCTCAACGCTCCCAATGCAACCCGCATAATGGCGGCTCTGTTATTTTCCGAGTTATGAGTCAAAAATCGAGGCAGAGAACACAATGTTCTGATGACGGAGCTCGCAAATATTCACCGATGCGTTTCATGCGTTGTTTTACTAAAGGAACACTCCGTCTTTTTTCTAAATTCACACACACACACACACACATACCCTCGTCCCTTTTTCTCATATTGTACACTAAGTATTTTGTGTTCCTCTGTATATTCTAGCTCAATTATGTAATTTAGCACCAATGTGTGTGTGTCTGTGTGTGTGTGTGTGTGTGTGTGTGTGTGTCTGTGTGTGTGTGTGTGTGTGTGTGTGTGTGTGTGTGTTCAGTAGCCATGGCAACTGTACAACATATCGGCGACCACAGAACCGCAGCGAGGCCGCGGGCAGCGCCGGGTTGTGCCAACGACTAATCCATGCCAGAGGTGACATGACACACACATGCAGATCACACACACACACACACACACACACACACACACACACACTCTCTGAAACACACACACACACTGGATATCCTCCCGTTCTTGTTGGCGGGAGCCTCCCATGGCACCAGCAGCAGGAATCCATTCTCCACGGATGCTGGGACAGCTGTGCAGATTCTGAACCAGACGCAGTTTATTCTGCCTCTCTCTCTGCATGCGGCGCGAGATAAAAACTACATGCTACTTAATTTAAAATCTATACCGCCGGCTGCCAACACGCAGCTCATCTCGTCTTTGTGTTTCGCCACCAAAGAGAGCTTGGAAATGTCTCTTTGCAAAAAAATTAAATGCTGTAAATTCGCTCCTGCTGACGCACGATGGCCCCCCCCAGTCAACAGCTGATAATAAAACGCAGATAATTTATATCACTGACAAAGACGTTCATCATAGAGACGCCTCTTGCTGTGAATGCAAATATCGTACCCGTTTTAAAGCTCCGAGATGAGAAAAAGCTCACATTTTAGGCTCTGGGGGTCTTAGCAGGGCTACCTAGTTGTTTCAAGCCAATGAAAGGAGGGCAGAAATACACAAAATGCCACTGTTACCGCACAATATCCACTTTCCTGCAACTATAGGGGCCTCTCAATCAATAGACACAGTTAGGGAGCGCCCATTAGCGTTAGCATTTCATCATTCAGAAAGTTTTTAACCAGTTGCCAAATTATTCGTAGAGGTCTTGTTCTCGTGAAACCAAACTAACCAGGTAATTAAACCGGTGAAAACGAAGAATCAAGCAGATTCACACCAAAAACACAGTTTGTTGGACACAAGAAAAAAGCCGCTGCAAGCTAACCGCTAACGTTTGCATAGCTCGTTTCTATAAACCCTTAAAAGCCGATGTGTTAAATCCTTCATTCGGGTAAGATAAATAGTTAAAAACGACAATAAAGTTCCAAGAATCAAGAACTCAAAGGCAAAAATTGATAAAAAGTCAACAATGAAAGCTTTTGGCAAAAACAAAAAAACAATGACGGACTCAAAGAAGTCGCCGAACAAATAAAACAGAACATTACATTGGAAAAATGACAGATTTCTCTGTGTTTGAAAATGGTTTGAACATTTGGGTTAATGTAAGTTCACTAACCCTAACAAAATAAAAAACAATGGTATCGTTGTTTTTAGACATTTTAACGCGGAAATGTTGCCTTAAAATGTTGCCATGCAAAGAGTTCAAGGTTCACAATCCAGAGTGTTTTTTAATGATGTCCGTTTTCGCGGTGGATCGGCCTGTGGATCGGCCTGTAACTGGCTTCGTGATTGGATGAATTAGTAAAAAGGAACACGGTGTCCCCGGCTAACGTCTGGCATCGTGACCTGCTGCTGATCGGGGGGGGGACTCCTCCGGTTTCACCCCCCGACTCTCTTTCTTACACACTCAGTTACAACAGGGAACAATGGATCTGCCTATACCTGTCAATCAAGAGCGCTATGACTTCATTTCTCTGTGTGCCGTCCAAAAGCAGAGTGGCTGTGATCCACAAACTCCTTTTGGCCGTTTGAGTTGTATAGACCTATGTGTGCAAAGCCCACAGCGATAGCATCTTTCACTGAGAAATGTTATACTATTGCACTTTCTTTTAGCATGAAACTACGGCTTGAAAATGATTCAGTTACAGGACAAAGGTGAGGCACGGCCGGCAGGAAATTGGCATCCAGCGATAACCAGTGACGGGCCTAATTGGCATGAAGACACGAAACGGGTTTTAGGGGCATGTTTGCACGGCTTGTGTGCAAACGCATGCATGTCTACGTGTCTTTTATTGTGAAAAATCCAACATTTTCTGTTTATTCAGACTGTGGTTCCATCAGATTCTAATCCTCGGAGCAGCTGTTCCTACTCACTTTGCAGGAAGAGAAGAAGAGGGGAGCTGGGAGGGGGTCCGAATAAATGTAAAGTTAATGCCTCAAAGTCCTGATATTGATTACATTCATTAAATGGGATTTTCATATTAAAACAAACTAGCTCATGCTTTGATATTTTCTCTGAAAACACAGCGCTCTGATAGCGGCTGATAACGCTCGGCGGTGACGTCAGGAAAAATATAATACATCCTCTCGGAGAAACACCCGGAGCCGATAAAGAAAGGCAGCAGACGGAAAGAGAAATAAGAGGAAAGGGAAATAAGACGCTGACCTCGAGGCTGAGGTGACTCCTGACGGACAGGAACGGGGAAATTATTAAAAAATGAATGTTTTTAGTTACGGTAAATTCAAATACCACATTAAATATATCTTGTAACATAATATGTCTTTCTCTGTTCCAGATATGTTCCTTTGCACACATTAAAACGAGGTCTGTAATCGCCAACAAAAACACACACACACACACACAGACAACTTTTCATAGTGTGTGAAGAAAATTACACGGACCTGTAAAACCTCCAGCTGCAACAAAAAAAAAAAAAAACATTTTCTGGAATATGGAATATATAGAAACTACGGAAGAGGATGAGGGCCACATCTTTATTTTGAGATCTGACCAGAAGTGAGTTCTGAGAAAACAAAGTCAACGTTTTTAAGAAAAAGTCAAAATTCTGAGATATAAAATAACTCTCTTTTTTTAAATCACAGAATTCTAAGGGAAACAATCATTTTGACTTTGATTCCAGAATAACTTTTCTCCACATTTGGACTTTTTCTCAAAACTCAGATTTTTCTCAACATTTTTACTTTTCCTTAGAATTTTTCTCCAAATGTTAATTTTTTTTCAGAATTTCGACTTTTTCACAAAATTCTTACTTTTTCTCAAAATCTTTTTTATTTTGACTTTTTCCTCACAATTTAGACTTTTTCACAAAATCTTGACTTTGAAAAAAAAAAAAATTGCTTTTTCACAAAATATTGACTTTTCTTTTTGACTTTTTTTCACAATTTTGACTTTTTCACAAAATGTGGACTTTTTTAAAAACTTTTTCTCATTGTTGAATTTTTCTCAGAATTGTTGACTTTTCTCAAAATCTTGACTATTTCTTAGAGTACAGATTTTTTTTAAAGAATTATGACTTTTTTTCTCAAAATGTTTACTTTTTCTTATAATTCTGACTCATTCTTAACATTTTCTGACTTTTTTCTCACAATTCAGATTTTTTTTTTTTAAATGTTGACTTTTTCTAAAAAAAATTAAAAAAAAAAATCCCTTCTGATCAGATCTCAAACATATTTTCACACGTGGCCCTCATCCTCTTCCATCAGAAACACAGACACCTAATGCTTGATAAAGAGGGACTAAATGGGACTTACCACTAAGGCATTGTTTAGAAGGTGAGTAGGGTAATACTTTAGTTGAGAGGGTAAAAGGCGAGGTTCAGGTTCAGGTCCAGCAGCACAGGGGGAGAGGGAAGGAATCAGTTAACAACATCTGAGATTTACACATCACCAGGTGACACATCTGACAATTCTAAAAATACAATAAAATAATTTAAAAAATGTTTTAAAAGGTGGCAGATTTGTGCTGGGAAAGCAACAAATACGGACAAAAAAAAAATGAAATTAATGGCAGGAAATTGGCTCCATTTAAAAATAAGAATGAATGGGAAATTATGAATTATGAGACAGGGCAGCAAAACATCTCGACACAACTTTAAGAAGATATATTACATTATAAAGTCCTACATATAGATGGGATTTTGTATCTCTAAATTAGATCAGCACGAAACACACACACACACACACACACACACACACACACACACACACACACACACACACACACACACACACACACACACACACACACACAGACACACACTCACACACACTCCATACGCAGCGTTCTCCAGCCATGCCGCTTCTTCTTTTCTTTTTTTTAAAATCACAGTTAATAATTCATTCAAATGTTTACTATTGCTGCCATATCCGAGGTCCAAGCTCGAATTCTTAATTATTAACAGCAATTGAATAAACAAAATGTGCCTCTCCGTCTGCAAGGGACTGCTGTGTGTGTGTACGTGTGCGTGTGTGTGTGTGCATGTGCGCGCGTGTGTGTGTGAAGTTGTTTCTTCTGTGCACAACACATAAGGTAGAGAAACAAACAGAGGGTAAACAGAGTCTGATGGCACGCCGCGAGTTAGCATCATGTGCAACATGTGTACTGCATTACGCTGCGTGAGCTTCTGTTGTCAATTAGTTTTAATTGAGGGGAAATTTATGTAGTTAAATAAAAGCTCCTTTTGTTCAGAGATTATCTGCTGTGAAAGGATTTTTTATCAATTACAGATAAAGTCATCATCTCTAAAGGCGGGAGGAGTGAGTCTCATAAACACACATTCTCGTTTACAGGCAGCGCGGCACATCTGGGCTTCTATTTCCCGCTGTTTTAAAGTCATATCGTGGGCCTTAAGTCAACACACTTAGTGCCCGTTATAGCGTCTCCTCCCCCTCTATGTTTGGAAATGAAAGGACGTAAAACTCAGAGAAACACACATATTCTCATTTACAGGCAACGCTACACATCTGTGCTTCTATTTTCAGCAGGTTTTAGGTTAAACTCAAGGTCTCAAGTCAACCGTATTCGTATCTAATTATAGTTTCTCCAATAAAATGAAGAATTAATGGGATATAATAAATCTTGTGTCATCTCCAAAGACTTGTTTGGAAACGCAAGGAGAGAAAACTGAGGAAAAGTGACCATCACACACACATATTCTCATTTATAAGCAACACTGGACATCTGTGTTTCTATTATCAGCAGGTTTTAAGTCATATTTAAGGTTTTAAGTCAGCACACTTAGTACCCTATCAATAAAGTGAAGAATAAAGGAATCCAATAATTTGTTTTCCCCCTCTCTGCATGCTTGTTTGGAGTTACAAGGACGTAAAACACATTTTCTCTCTTACAGGCAACGCTACACATCTGTGCTTCTATTTTCAGCAGGTTCTAAGTTAAACTCAAGGTCTCAAGTCAAACGTATTCGTATCTAATTATAGTTTCTCCAATAAAGTGAAGAATTAATGGTATATAATAAATCTTGTGTCATCTCCAAAGACTTGTTTGGAAACGCAAGGAGAGAAAACTGAGGAAAAGTGATACACACATATTCTCCTTTAATGCATCTGTGCTTGTATTTTCTGCAGGTCTTAAGTCAGCACACTTGGTACCCTATCAATAAAGTGAAGGATAAAGGAATAAAATAATATTTGTTTCCCCTCTCTTCATGCTTGTTTGGAAGGACGTAAAACACATTTTCTCATTTACAAGCAACGCTGAACATCTGTGCTTCCATTTTCTGCTGTCTTTAAGTTAAACCTCGTTAGTACCCTATAATAGTTTCTTCCATAAAGTGAAGAATTAATGGAAAATAATAAATCTCCTCCTCCACATTTCTACAGGACTATTTGTAAATGCAACGAGGGAAAAACACAGTAATAAACACATTCTCATTTACAGGCAACGCTGCACATCTGTGCTTCTATTTTCAGCAGGTTTTAAGTCAATCTCAAGGTCTTAAGTCAACACACTTGGTATCCTCTAAACATTTTGTGAGTAATTTATTTAAAACAATACGCCTCTAAAGGCTTCTTTTCAGAATGACAAGGATGCGAGACTCAGACAAACGGAGTACGAGACACACATTTAGAGGCAACGCTGCACATCTGTGATCCTATTTTCTGCTGGAAGCACACTTACAATAGTTTCTACAATAAAGTGAAGAATTAAGGGAATAAAATACATCTTGTGTCTAAAGGCTTTGTTGGAGTTGCGAGGACAGAGAACGCAGAGACAAACACACATCTCTGCTCCTGTCTTCTGCAGTTGATAAGTTCAATTCTAGGTCTTAAGTCAACCGTCATAGCACCCTGTAATTATTTCTTCAATAAAGTGAATATATTAAATCACTCATTTCTAAAGGCTTGTCTGGAAACGCAAAGACATAAAACACATATTCTCATTTACAGGCCGCGCTGCTGTGCTTCTACTTTCTGCTGTTTTAACTTAAATCCTGGCTCTAAAGTCAACACACTTAGTGCCCTTTAATAGTTTCTCCAATAAAGTGAAGAATTAAGGGAGAACAATAAATCCCCCGGTGTCAGCGTGAGGACCACGCTATGATTTCTTTGGCTGCTAAGGTTTTTCAAATGGAAAGCAGACAGGAGCCCGAGAACATCTTCACATCGTCACAGAGGAAAAGTGTTTTAATAAAACCGCTGTAAAATCTGAGCGAGTTACACGTCAACAAGAGGCCTGAGAGCCAGCGAGGGAAACACAGAGGACAGATCCACCGGGTTCAGAAACCTCCGGGGAAAAACAGGCTTTGTGTCCAGAACAGAAGGGATGATGGGAAATCTGTAGTACTTATTAAAAGTAGGGTTTCATAAAGTGTGAGACGTTATATTCTGGAGTGAAACAAAGACAAGCTGAGGGGAAAGTTCTGGAAGCGGCCGTGGCAGGTTCTTCTCTCACACTGTGGTGTTTAAATGTTATTATAATGATACAAATATAGGTTTTAAAAGCAGATCAAACTAAAAGCAATTTATATTCAAACATGTATTACAGATGCACGAATATAACCACTGAATTACACTAAGAACAAGCTCTTACTGATTTAATATTTGGGGGAATTTGCAGACGTTTCCTCCACAGCCGCAACAAAGAGGACAATTCTGGAGCTATGATTAAATAAACGATAGAGGAAGCAGTTTTACGTAAAAGAAGTATTTTGTGAAGTAGGTTTAAATGTAAAAGAAGCTGGTGATAATCTAGGAATAAATAGACAGAAATATAAACATCAACCTGAAAGACGTGATGCATTCAAGTGCAAAAACATTCAACAAAGATACAGCTACAAAGGTTCAAACTGATATAAAATGTGGGGGGAAATTGCAGACATTTCCTCCATAACTTCAACAAAGAAGAACATGTGTTAAATACGATGCTGGTGCAACCATCTCTGTCAAAATAAATGGCACTTTTTTAATATAAATGTCTTGCAAAATGAGGTGCATGTGAGAGGAAGCGCTGCAAGATGTATGAGGAGAATAAATAGAGAGAAATAAAGAAATATAAAATCAACCTGAAAGACGTGTTGCATTCAAGTGCCAAAATGTGTAACAAAGATCAAGATAAAAACAGCAGATGCAGAGTTTATGATCACACACACACACCCTCCAACACACACACACACACACTCTCCAAAGTCATTTTTAGAAATAACTGGAAGCACTTTTTGTTATAAATTATAAATTGCAAAAAGAGGTGCAGGTTAGAGGAGGCATTTTGTCCAGTGTGTTTACATGTAGAAGCTGATTATGTAAGAATAAAAAGACAGAAATATAAAAATACACGTGTTGCATTCAAGTGCAAAAACTTGCAACAACGATAAAATCAGCAGATGCAGAGTTCATAATCACACACACACACACACACACACACACACACACACACACACACACACACTCCAACACACTCCAACACACACACACAGTCACACACACACACAGTCCAAAGTCTCTCCACATGAAGCCTCTGAAGGCGGCTCCTCTCCCCGGGAAAACACTCCTGCAGCCCGGCCGAACTTTCCCAAAACCTCCGCTGCACATTCCGTCTCCCCCCTCCTCTTCCTCCCACACCGCCTCCCCCTCCTCTTCCTCATTTTTTATATGAAATACATTTCGGGAGAAGCGCCATTTTCTCTCCAAAAACCCCCCCATGTGCGCACCGGAAAAGTTGCAGAGACGCTCGGAGGAGAAGTTGGAGACAAGACGCAGCAGCGAAACATGCAGAAACACACAGGCAGCAAAACGAGAATAACCCCCCCCCCCCCACCATACAAGCTGCCCCCCAACAAGGAAAGAAGAGTTTACCTGTGTCAGGCAGTACGGGGAGTACATGGTTATTTGTGGAAATGTGAGAGCTTATTATTGGATGGAAGCTGCTGCTGCTGCATCGCTCTCCGTTTCTCACTCCATGCTGCTGAAACCCCGCCTAGAAAGTGAAAGCTTGCACAAACTTTCAGGGAAAAAACTTTATCTCCCTCCCCTCGGCTCTGCTCTGAAGGACTTTTTTTTAATATATCGCTCTCCTCTTTCTAACGACTTCTGCAAAAAGGCGGCATTTCATTTTTACGCGCATTTTATTCAGAAGGGATGTGACTTTCAAATTCATATTTAGAGAGAAGGAGTAGAAGTACTCAGATCTGTACTTGAGTAAAAGGAGAAGTACTCAGATCTTGTACTTGAGTAAAAGTAGAAGTACCAGAGTGTAGGAATACTCTGTTACAGTAAAAGTACTGCATTCAAAATGTTCCTCAAGTAAAAGTAGAAAAGTATTATCATCAAAA